CAATAGGCGCAACATAAATATCTGTCCTATATGTTCTTTCAACAATTTGTAATTCAACTGGTCCCACTACATAGGCATCCATGTGCATACCACGCCCTGCTGCATGCATTGTTGCTTTTCTTTTCATGGGTGGTTTTTTGCTAAGAGATTCATAAACTTTGTCAGAAATTATTGTAACTTCTGCTGCGGTATCTACTACCGAAATTACAGGCTGTCCATGCACTTTTAAAGTGAATCGAAGCATAGATGCTGAGCCTAACTGGCAAATAGTTCCCCCTAAGTGTACGGGATCTTGCAACTGAAGGTCAATTACTTTCTGTAAATCATTATCAGGCACCGTTGTGTGCAATGATAAATTAGACAGAGTATCTGTGGATGTTGACATGTCACATGTTTTCAACGGGGTAATCCCCGAAACAGGTGTCTTGTTTCTTTCGTTTGAAATGGTGTTTAACGTTAGGCGGTTAGGTGTGGTCTGAGTCAGGGTTCCGCCCTTTAGCCCGACTCTTTCTGGTTTAAATGGTCTGTGTAATTTTTACCTGTTGATGAATGTAAGACAGGACAGTCCCGTTGTATATGTCCAAACTGGTGACAGAAATAGCAAGCCATATTTGCTAATTTTTCAGGTGGTATAGGTCTCCAGCACCTTTTAAATGGTGATTGTCGCTGATTATCTTGCCTACTATCCCTGTTACGCCATTGTTGGCGATTACCTTGATTTTGTTGGCTGAATGGTTGGGTTGCTGGCTGGACTTCATTTTGTACAGGAAACTGTTTTGCCTGCTGTTGTGTTTGAAGCTGCTGTTTAATGTCTCCAATTTCCTGCTTATGAAATGCTTCCATAGCAGTCATTTTCTCTAGCAATGTTTCCATTTGTTTAGACAAATCGGACTTTGTGTCCGTCTTACCCATAGCGTGAACAGCTAGGTCGCTATCATAATCACTTGGTTCATCCTGATTTGGTGTTGGGTCACGTCTACCGGTTGGTTTACCAAAGATAGCTGTGTGGTTATGTTGGAACCATTTTATCTGGTCAATTGCTGCTTCAACAGATGTTGGTCTGGCGGTGGCTCCATGTTGACCAGCTTCTTTATCTGAGCATCCCTGGCATATTTTCCAGATAGCTTGTGTATACATATAACTGTCGGGAAGATTTCTAAAGGCTTTACAGGCTAACGAGAGAACTCGGTCTGCCCAATCTTCCAATTTCTCATTTGTATTTTGTCGTGCACTCATGAACTGAACTTGCAAAGTCTCTGGTAAATCTTGAAAATTGAACCTTTTCTCTAATTTGTGAATCAATTCAAAGTAATCCACACCTTGGTCTCTATCCAGTAAATTTGCATAGTAATCACCTGCTTTACCATGTAAACACCAACACAGTTGGTCTTTTCGTTCCGTGGTAGTCCATGATAAACGATCAGCATACCTATGAAACTTGGTGTAAAAAGTTTTCCAACTTGAGGAACCATCATACTTCAGTCCTTTAGGTATTTCTAGGTTCTTTGATTTTGGCTTTGCTGGAGGCATTAATTGCGGCGACTCCCCATAACTTAAATATGGTCTTGGAGGGTACATATTTCTGTTTGAAGAAAAGTATGTTGGATTTGGTGTTCTCAAGGAATATACTGGTTCCCTAAATATTTCTGGTGAAGGTATTCTGCGACGGAATTCTGGTGGAGGTATATGTGATTCTACCTGTTGACGACGTCTTGGGACTGGAACTGGCCTTTCTAATCTAGGTTCGTGCTCGTTGGGCCCTTGCTGCCATCCCAATTTTGATGTCTGCTGTTGTGTATTTTGATTACGTGAATAATCACGTTTTTCAATGTGCTCATTGGGACCTTGCTGCCATCCCAATTGTGATGTCTGCTGCTGTGTATTTTGGTTACGTGAATAATCACGTTTTTCAATGTTTTCCTCAACATTTAATCTGATACTTGGTTTCGTGTACCCTAATTCATCTGTTCTATGAATTTTGTCTGGCTTAAACTGTCGATCAATTGAAAAATCTTGAACTTTATCCTGGTCATCATACTTGGTTTGTAGTAATGGTTTTCTTTCATCAGGTCTTGACAATTTTGTTGAATACTGGTGGTCCCCATACTGCAAAGTGTAATTTAAAGGCTTGCTCATTGCTGAACTGGGACGTGATAACTCACGTTTGACTTCCTCAGGCTCAGGTTTAAGCAAACATTCATCAGAAGGTGTGTCAGAATATGAAAAGTCATTGATTTCTGCTTCTCGTCTTGCATATTCCGAATGAAATCCAGATGTTTTAACTTCACCATAATCAACATAGTCTTGTAAATCATAACTTGACTGAGTCCGTGATTTGTATTCTTGTTGCTGTGTAACTGGTGAAAAATCTATCAAATCCATCAAGGCTTCAGTAATTCTTAGTCTTGGTATTTCAGAAAGATGCTCAGGCTGAATATTACCAAATGTCTCTCTCATAGACATAATCTTGTCAGCTATGACATTTCCAACACCAGGTAACAATAATAATTCTTCATAAGTACAGCTATTAATCTTTGTACGCTCCTTCTGAAAAGCTAAGTCTGCCATTATGTTATTATAACACAAATACAATTTAATTTAATCACTGGTTGCTGAACCAGAAAAAAAAAAAATTAATGTGTATGTGCTATGTGGCTAACCACACAAAAAACGGCTAATTTTTCCGAAAGTGGCTAATTTTCTCCAAATTGCTCTGATAACAGCTAATTTGTCTAATTTCTACACAAAACGGCTAATTTTAGCAAACGTGAAACAATTTTCGAAAATAAATTCTGTAATTAACGCAAGTTTTTATGCTTATATTATTTCCGTGTTCAAACACTTCATAATATACCAAATATAGCAATATGAACTTCGCAAATACACGTGACGTACTCACTTCTGTTTCTCGATTAATTCGTCTTTTTAACACAGGAAACCCTGCTCGCCAAGCGCCAGTGATGTGATTTCCGAGTATTGTCACTCAATACTAATACTTCTAATACAATGAAATGCTCCTAATTGTACTAACTTACCAAATATACTCTGATACTCTCTGGTTAAGTTCTAGTACAGGCGTTCTCATTCCCGCCAATACGCCAACTCTCGTTACCTGGTAACTATCTGAGATCTTATCCTGAGTTAGGTCTACTTTTACCATGGATCATTCCGGGAACCGGGCTACGCGGTATATCTAACTACCGTACTGTCTACATAGTAATGTCACGTCCATTATACCATATTACACAACATTAATCATGTAATATTTTAGTGAGGAATTATCCTTTTTTTATTTACAGTTTAAATCAATTAATACATTTGAGTTACAACTAAATTTTATTTCACAGCCAATAATTTGGTCCGGCTTTTTACATCAAATACTGTTTCATTATGTCAGGGAAATGTTCAAAAATAACGTCCTTAAAAGTTTTTAATGTGTTCAAAATTAAATTCCTGGGTTTTTTTTATCGGAATACATGTATTGGAAATAACTATTCTCCCCAACTGCTGATCAAGTAATCAGAGTTTTGGAAAGCTAAAGATTTAGGTTATTTTAAATCTGAAAGATTTTTTTCTTTTTTTTTTTTTTGCATTGCTTTGGTATTGTTTAATTTTATAGTAATTTGAAGTTATTAATATTTTCATAATAACATTCACGGTACCAATTTTACTGCACCAGTAAACTTCAACTTATTTTGAGATTTTTGTTTGTTTCACAACTCAACTTTTAGTCAGTTTCAATCACTGTGTGATAAATCCTTTCAATCTGATAAATGTGCTTCGGGGCAGTTGTAACTCATTTATAGAAACTCTTTGTTTTGAACTGTAAATAGACCCAAATAATAGGATAATCCCTTACTAAGAACATGATTTACATTCATTCTTCACAATTAAGAGGCATCCAAACCTACAATTTCATTGGTCGAGAGTACTTTGCTATATTCTAACATATACTTGAACTTAAAAAAATTCGTGAACAGTTACTTTGTATACGGACTTTCATTCTCAAATTTCCGATCCTAAGAATGGCTTCAAGCTTTTTTCCAAGTTCGTGTCGTTCCGGCACATCTAGTTTATATTTCAAAAATAAATTATACTCCTAAACATAAAAACAAAATAAAAGATTGTAACAAAGAAAATATACAATGAGATCCAATTTTCATTCAACAAAAACATTATTTAAATTAAAAAAATCAAAACTTTTGAATTTTTATTAATCTCAAGTTAACATATATGTTGCTTATCTGTTTTCACTCAGTACATGTATATAGAAGTAGAACCTGACTTGAAACTACATGTCCCTTTAGTGTAAAAATATAATCAATTAACGAATGTTTAATCCTTTCAGAAACAGAACAAGTTTTTGTACATGTACTTAAGGTGGATCATTAGATTCACTATATATTAAATTTTCCTCAGATAGAATTTTCTAATACTTTGCCAAAATGGAGATTTTGCCATGCTTTTTTTTTTTAAATATATCAAAAGTATGGGTCACCGTGCTATTTTTCAAGCTACAAGTCGTCAAAAATATTGCCCAATTTTGCATAGATTATTTAAGAAAAAACACTTTTTTTTGTGAATAAAAAGAAAGCTATGAAATAGAACTTTGAAATAAAATATGAGAAGATAGGTTTTATAATATGCTTCAAGAAAATAAAAAGAAAAAATGGTTTCACATCATTTGTTTTCTTGCTACAAGTCAAACATGAAAATTTTACTGCAAGATTTATCTCCCCTTATATGACCAAGTTGGAAAATTGAATCGGAACAAAATCAAATATTTAGTATTTCTTAAAACATCCTATATTATGCAACAAATCACTTATTTTTCTTTATTATAGCCAAAGTCTTAGACATAAACTGCTAATCTGTCTAAGTTTTTGCAGATTTGAGCAAAAAACAAGACCGATTGTGTACTGCTATTTTCAATCCAAAATGGCGGTTATACAGTTAATCTACCTTAAAAATATTTATAGTGAAATATTTTTTCATTGCAGGTTTATTAATTGGCTAATACACAACCATCATGGTGAGAGTACTGTCAAGAATATTTGAAAAAAGTTTTTTGAAAAAAATGTTCATATTACAAATTCTGCTGTTTGGCTTATATGTAATAAACAGAAGGTCACAGACGGTTGAATCTACCACTGACGTAAAAAACTATATTCAAAGGTCAAATGTTATTGTTAATCCTGATCCTGATCTGCGATTTGCGCATGCTACCTTGAAACCAATAGATTTAATTCGATTTGATTGTGGTGAACTTTGCAACACATCTAGAAAAGGTCAACCTGGTCCTTACTTTGACCATGTTACGGCAAATATAAATTGTGAAGCACTATTTAGTAACGAATACATAGACAGCGGGCATGGGTTGGCACGTGCGCCAAAGGAAATTCCCAAAGAACTTATGGATGAATACACAATGAATGGTAGAGTTGGTATAAAGAAATGGTATTTTGATGAACAGTATCTAGGCAAAAAAGCATTCACACCAGTGTGGACGGAGGAAATGATAGAGAAAAACATCAAAGAAGCAAAAGCGCAAAAACTATTCAGTCCGTACGGTCTTGCCAAAATAAACGCTTTGCGTGATGGGTTGAAACATGCACCTGGAATCCAAGATGGACGAGTTCTTGTTATAGGTTCCGAACGGCCTTGGGCAGAAGCATGTGTGTTAGAAGCAGGAGCACGCGAAATCCTGACTTTGGAGTATGGAAAAATAATTTCTACGCATCCTAAAGTAAAAACCATCGTTCCGCTTGATTTCCGAATGCGGTATCTCAATAACACTTTGGGAGAATTTGATGCAGTCGTTACATTTAGTTCAGTTGAACATTCTGGCCTCGGTAGATACGGCGACGCCCTCAATCCATGGGGAGACATTATTGCAATAGCAAGAGCTTGGTGTGTTACAAAACCTAAAGGATCCCTCACATTAGGTGTTGAATATAAATATGAAGGCGAATACATAGCATTTAATGCACATCGTTATTATGGTAAAATACGGTATCCATATTTAACAACAAACTGGAAACAATACTATAAAGGGATAGGAACACAACTTGTTCATGTTTTTGTTAAATAAATAAATATGTTAGATATGCTTTCATTATAAAAATAAGGAGATGTGATATGATTACCAATGAGACAACTATCCACCAAAGTTAAAATGAAGTGGATGTAAGCAATTATATGCAACCGTACGGCCTTCAACAATGAGAAAAACATATACCGTATAGTCTTCTATAAGTTCATGTACATTTTAGCTCAGCTGACCCAGATTATCATAATGAGCAGTTATCATTTTGCATCCATGATCGTAAGTTTTTCAAAGGATCTGCGCATGCTCTAATATAACTTAATGAATTCCACTCAAACTGTGCCTTACTAATCCTTAATTCAAACCTCAATCTTACTAACTCGGTCGCTATTACATCTTTTAATGAAAAGTAAGATGATCAGAAAATTGAATTATTTTTTGTATATAATTGGTAAATGTTGATATAAAGGATAAACAAGATTGTCAAGGTCATTCGAGATGGAAAAACAATAATTCTTAGATAACTTGCCATCTATATATATAAAGAACACTGTGCGGGACAAATTTGCCATTCCAGAATTGGCAAATCTGACTTTGTTGTTTTACAAGATAACAAAAAATGTTTTGGCCAAGTGATAAAAAATTTAAAAAAAAACAATTTTCCCATGTATGTCCAAACATATCACTGTTGTCACTGTTGGTAAGGCTTATATAGAAGTTAGGAACTATAGGTCACTGTACGACCTACAACAATGAGCAGAACCCATACCGCAAAGCAAGCTATAGTTGAGTAACAGGTACGGTACGTTAGTGACAATTTCACGGATTTTTATTTTATAAAAATGTTGCAAGCAACTAGAGCATGTGGAATAATTTGCATATGAATATCCGATACAAAGTTAATTTTCTACTATCGGAGATACTCTAATTTTATTCATGTGTACTACTATTTTCCGGATATTTAATTTGCTGTATATCAGAAAGAAAAAAAACGTTGTGTATATATTTTTTCTATGTTCATGTGCAATACCTCATGCTCTAGTTGAGGGTGGACACTTTTGAGGGGAGGTGGGAGAGAAAAAGGGATTCCAAAAGTGGGAGGTGGGAGAAGGGTACACCCTGTCCACCCCCTCCTAGTTGTATGCAAAATGTTGTACCACTCCATGAAATCACCAATTTACGAACCGGTGACCGGTAACGCATACGTTAAACAGTGGACGTATAACAAACATAAACACGACGGGTGGAGTAGGATCTCTAACCCTTCCGGAGCAACTGAGATCACCCCCAGTTTTTGGTGTTATTCAGTCTTTTGATTGAGTTAAGCCATTTCAATTGATATTTTATTGTGTGTCTTTCTATGGTGTGATGTTACACTATTGTTTCAGATAAGGGTGATGGTTTGGTACCATTAAAACGTTTAAACCCGCTGCAATTGTTTGCACCTGTCCTAAGTCAGGAATCTGATGTTCAGTCGTTGTCGTTTGTTGATGTGGTTCATAAGCATTTCTCGTTTCTCGTCTTTTATATAGATTAGACAGTTGGTTTTCCCGTTTGAATGGTTTTACACTAGTAATTTTTGGAGCCCTTTATAGCTTGCTGTTCGGTGTGAGCCAAGGCTCCGTGTTGAAGACCGTACTTTGACCTATAATGGTTTACTTTTATAAATTTTGACTTGGATGGAGAGTTGTCTCATTGGCACTCATACCACATCTTCTTATATCTATTTAGAACTCTTTTTTGTGTTTTGTGTACTGTTTGTCTTTTCGTCCTCTTATATGTAATTTTATAGGAGTTATCTACCTTTACCAAAAAAATTTGTCGGTATGTTTTTTTAACTCATAAACTTTTAACCGTATAACCCTGGAATCTTTTTATTTGAGGCCCGTATGTCCTAACTTAGAAAATGAAGTCAAGGTCAAAGGTCAAGGTCAAGTTCTCAACTTTAACTTTTCCTTGTTTTTGCATTTTCTCCAACACTTTTAAAGATATATATATATATATCTTTTGTTTTATGCCATGGCAGCATTGTCAGTTTGTATCTGACTTATGAGTTTAAATATCCCTTTCGTATTTTTCGCATTATCTATTCTCATCTATAATACTATTCTATTCTATTTTTTTGAAATAATTTCAATATTTGCATTTGACGGAGTTATCTTGCTTTTCTTTGCACAACTTTTAAATCTTTATCGTTTTTTGTTTGTTTTTCCTACAAAAAATAAATTATGCATTGATGGCACATGGTTGATAGCTTCTTTTTTATCTCACTTTTTTTGTATCTTGTCACATTATATAATCACGTTTTTGTGTTATCTTGAATACTGTAAATATAATAATAAGGAGATGTGGTATATGATTGCAAGTGAGAGAGCTTTCCACCACAGACCAAATGACATAGAAGTCTCAGCAACTATAGGTCATCTTACGACCTTCACTAGTGAGCAAAACCCAAACTGCATATAAAAAAGATATAAAAAGTCCGGACATGGCAAATGTCATACGAGAAAACTAACGGTCAGTTTTATCTACCTATTAATTTACGAAGAAAAATATGATGATTTACCACAATAACCGACAATCATTGCATTGCAAGCTGCTGACTTATGAGAGGCACATACATACTGTAGATTAATTTATTATCGTGGATTGAGGAAAGATTTTTTTTTTTCGTTAATATTTGATTTCGTGATTCTACCGAATTCTCCATACAAGACAAATATTAAATTTGAATTTCGTTGAACGTTTAATTTCGTGGTTTACCTGTACCCACGAAATCTATGAAAATTAATATTCCCGAATATAAATGAATTCGTAGTAATTTGGTAGGGATATGCATGTTTGCGGGCGCTCAACCCTCGTCTTACCTTGGACAGTGGTGTCGTCTTACCATGGACAGTGGTGTAACAACTACATAAGAAGAAAGTAAAAAAAAAAGATCAGTTGAAAAGAGCTTTAATCATTAGATCGTCTCAAAGCACAAACAAGAAAGTATAAAAATAACCCTTGAGGTCGTTGTTTGTTGGGTTGTAACCGTATTGGCGTATACCCCAAATTGTTTTTATTTAGCAAGCGAGGATTTAGAAAATATGTAAAAAGCAAAATAACAAAAACACCGAACTCAAAATCAAATGCTCAAACATATCAAACGAATGGAAAAAAAGAGTCATATTCCTGACTTGGTACCTGTAGGCATTTACTTATGTAGATGGTTAAACCTGGTTTTATAGTATGTAAACAAGAAACACAAAAATAAAGGACGGAATGCATTAATTGTCGTTTTCGCTCGGTTAGTAATGAACGTTTCGAATTTTGTTGAAAGTTTCTGTTTTATCTTTCATTTTTTTTTATCGCTGTAATACACATAGAAGCAATAAAAATACGCGAAAAGATACACAATAATGTTTATCGATAAAAAATACTTTAATGTACACGGCATCAAATGTTATAACATGAAATTGTTACACACAAAAAATGTGTTAATAATGTAAGTAATATTAAGTTGTTTATATACAGCCTTTCAATTGACGTCAACATGTTTGTCTCACATCTACACACTTAGCTGTTACAGTATCCATGACTCAAGATAAACTGCAAAAATCTAAAAACTGCTTCATTGTGAAAACAATCCTTTGTTTCTTTAATATTTATTTGTGAATAATAACCTTTCCGTGATAGATGTTGCCTAAGAAGAAGATTTTATGTAATGTTTGATTTACAGACAACACAAAAATACCATTGAAAATTCAGCGACTAAAAATACCATTGAAGGTTCAGGTTGCACTTTGTAAATACAGCTGTTTCACAAACCACGCCTTTTTTGGGGAGATACATAATATGCATAGATATTTTGTTTTGTTTACCTTCTTGTTCCCAGATATGATCTCTATGATTCATCTTGTAGAGCCATAACTTGGGAATGTTACCAGTAAATATACACATGCATAGCGGTCAAATTGAAATCTGTGGAAGACCCAAAGTGAAGGGAGGGGTAGTACATAACTTAATATAAGTTTAAACTCTTAGAAGTTCGGGCATATAAATGTTGAAAATATGCCGCACAGCCCTATATTTTGACCTTTGAAAAAAAAATAGTTGTGCATATGAGCTTTCCATTCTATGATACAATTTTTTACGAAACTTCATAGTAAAAGTGGTACAGTCTTGGCCGTAAAGGGAGGTCCTATGGGTAGTTGCATTGTCTATATTTACAGAATTGCAACCTATATTCAGCGACCCAAAAATACCATTGAAGGTTCAGCGACACAAAAATACCATTGAAGTTTCAGCGACACAAAAATACCATTGAAGGTTCAGTGACACAAAAATACCACTAAGAGGAGAGTTCAGCGTCTATTATGATACAACGCTACAATTTAATAATACGGAGATGCTGTATGATAGCCTAACAAAAAGGGGGCGATACCTAATCACTATATACCACACGCCTTATAAAAGTGGGGATCGAATACCCAATCACTAAATACCGCCTACTTTAGATCCCCCAGTTTTGGTGAGGTTTGTGTTGATTAGTCTTTGGTTTAATATGTTGTATTTGTGTACTGTTGTTTGTCTGTCTGTCTGTCTGTTTGGTTTTTTTTACTTTGTTAGCCAGTTTATTTTCGAATTGTGAGGTTGAATGTCCCTTTGGTATCCTTCGCCTCTCTTTTCATTTCAAAAATGTATTTCTTATTTGACTTACTGACGGGCGGTGAATCACGTGTCGTATAAGAATTATTTGACTTACTGACGGGCGGTGAATCACGTGTCGTATAAGAATTATTTGACTTACTGACGTGCGGTGAATCACGTGTCGTATAAAAAATATTTGACTTACTGACGTGCGGTGAATCACGTGTCGAATAAGAATTATTTGACTTACTAACGGGCGGTGAATCGCGTGTCGTATAAGAATTATTTGACTTACTGATGTGCGATGAATCACGTGTCGTATAAGAATTATTTGTCTTACTGACATGCGGTGGATCACGTGTCGTATAAAAGTTATTTGACTTACTGACGTGCGGTGGATCACGTGTCGTATAAAAGTTATTTGACT